CTGGTAGTAGGGAAACTGGTAAATGGGTGTATTCTCTGAACGGTCACGTTGCGCTCTACTTCCCCCGACCTGATCTGTAGATATTCAATTTGATACGTCTTTTTTTTTTGGAGAATTCTGTCTACCCTCAAATTCATCATTGGATTTCATGTTCGAGATTTTTCCCCACTAAATGCGATGGTAATTAAAAGCGACGGACTTAATAAACCTCTGGCGCTAGGAACGAATCACACATTCGACGTTCATTCAGAAATGTACCGGCATTACGATACAGAACCGTCGGTAATACGAAGACCTGCTCTGCTTGTGGATGGGCAAATATTTCTCCCAACCCCTCTTGGATTTCATTTACTACTTACCAAATTCCCTAGGATGGGAAGCCTTTCTCAGTCTCGGTAAAGTTAAGCTTTGGATTTGATGTCAAGACAAGGCATGCCTATGAGCTGTGTTAATCCTCTCAATGTACAGCGTTGATGATCATTTTAAGGTTTTGGGGTTATGGAGCAGTCCCTACTGGTTTTTCGTATCGTTCATGAGTAGCAAATTCCCAGACTGACTTCTTTTCAATTACCTGGATACTGCGGGTTCGTTTACCTCATTTTAGCTACTACTAATGAGTAACGATTGTCAGTCGCCTTCCCTGAGCCCTATGACCTCGTTGCTGAGGATTTCCTGTGATCCTTTCTTTAATTCTTCTATCTCTGCCGACTTTTAATGCATTTTTCATGACAAAAACCAATCACAAAGATCGATCACTTTCTGTAGTCCCTTTGGAATTGTTTTTGCCCATTTGTCTTGCTTACCACCACAGTCGCTCAGTGCATATTCATAAGACAATCAATAAGCGGAGTATTACTAAGTGATGTCAGGACTTGAAAAAACCCAAAGAGAACAGTTGGTGAGTGACTGATGATATATTACTTATTGGTCAGTTTTCTTTTGTAGATTCCGCCATGCAGTCGACGTCTACATGAGATCATAGAACGAATTGGTTATTTATTTAGCTTACTTAGTGGCTTCCGAACAGTGTTCGGATCGCTTCTGTTTACCTCCCGCGATCCGAGCAGTTACTCTGTAATCGTTCTCAAGAAGTAAAGAATTTATTGACCCATTACAAAATCGTTCTATGTGCTCTTTATGTGTTCTTTCAGTCTCAGTGTCTTATGATACGGGTTCACTTAGACTTGTCTACAACTCAAAAGCAAAGATTACTTTTAATTAAATGGATGTGGAACCCTAATTTTGAGGATAGAAAGGGTCAAGGTTATAAAATTAAAAATTTTGGAAGTTCTCATTTCAACTGTACGCTAGTGGTCACGAAAAATCTCGGAAAACGTCCGGCCTGCTTGGTGAGGGTTTTGATGGAAGCGTTCTTTTGAGAATAAAACTGCGACTGTCAATCTGTTCTGTTGGAACGAGTCTTGGATTGAATGGTGGAGAATGTTTTTTGTTTATCTGTCAATGTTTTTTTCGATCGAAAACTCGTCGACGGTAACTGGCACGGTCTGTTTGCTCTTTCAGTTCCACAAACTGAGTCAGTGTTGATGTCCCTTTCTTCTTAGGGTGTGCCCTCTTGAGGACAAATCCCGTTTTCACTTTTTGAGACGAATTTTCACTACTAATTCATTAACGAATACTTTTGAAAAATCACTATAGATATCTATAACTACCTACATTGCTATTTAGGTATTTTGGTTATTTATTTTGGTTTTTTAGAATGAGTGATGTTCTTCGGAGGTTTTTAGAAAATCAATTAATCCATAGGATTTGAGAATGACCTGTTGTAAATCGCCTTTGGAAATTTCAAGATTGAACGGCATAGTTCGCAGACCATTAAGGAGTTTTTTTACTTCTGAATACTCTGAAATTGTTACCTTTTATGGCAGTTATAATAGCGGACTTACAGTTTAACTCATTTTCCATTTGTGGCTCTGACTTTTTACCGTTTACAGACAATTCGTAAGCTGACTTAGATTTGAAGTTTGATGACATTTACAACTACTTTTTTCAAGAGCTAATACTAATTGAAGCCTTCCAAAAAGGTTTCCCCAAGAAAAATGGCTCGGTTTTGATAAAGATGAGCTTATTTATTCATATTTCATAACTTCTTGCTTAATGGTGTACGGCCAGATGTCCCTAAGGAAGTATACAAGTAAACAAATTGGTAAATACCCAACAAACATCGTAACTCGATTGACAAAAAAGTAGCTGATAGAAAATTTACGCTGCCATCTTAGAAAAAATGATTTTGCTGTTATATTGCTTCGCTAAAACGGGAATTTTGTAAATATTTTTTAGGTTCCATAACTATCGTGAACAGGAATTTGTTTGATCGTATCGTATTCTCCACTAATGGGTGCTATGCACTTACGATTATGGCCATGCACTCATCCACCATCCATTCGTATTAGTGCAACGCTGCTTTCTCCCCATCTGTGGGGCTGTTCATCGCTCTCAATCGGTTGAAAGCTCCCACTTCTCCACTTTTATTTTTCTCAATTTTTCTGAAAAGCTTTCTAACCTCGAATTTTTGATTGTCGAAACTTCATAAGCTGGTCCTGCTTGATCTTTTTCCCTATTCATCCCAATATATTATCCCAATGGGGTCAGTAAAAAATCATGTGAGGTTTTTAAGGGTCTCCTTATAATCTGAGTCTGGAAATTTTCTATGAGGCGAATTTTTTAGGAATTTAAATTAGTGTTACTTTCGATAAATTAAAAAACAGATCTGGAGATGAGTACATTTGTAAACGGTGAGGCTGTGGTGTCCGTCTGCGGACATATGGATAGAATTTCAGTTAGGTCAGGCAAAATCATAAGTGGGAGTGTCATTCTCACCTTAGAGATAGCAGTTTTGCACTTTTAATGACAATAATAAATCACTGTAGGGTACAGGAGCACTTTTGAGTGCTTTCACAATCATGGGTGGAGGTGGCTGGAAGGTGCGTCCCCAAAATGACTGGATAAGGGCCGCGGTTTCCCAGTTGCCCAGTTTTTCCGTTTTTTTTTTCTTCTATTCGGAGAAGCTGATTGATCCTTGAGAAGGAAAGGAATGGGGAATGAAAGGTGGGGGAGGGAAGAGGGGGAGGCGGAGAGACGAGTGGGAGGAATCGGAGAACAGAATCACTTCAAATTCTTTCTCGTATCGTCAGTGAAATCTATGATTGATCTCGTTGAGTGAAAATCGAATGGATATTAGATTGGCCGTTCATATGATTCATATGGAATTCCCCCATCCCAGTTCTATCGATCATCTTCAATGCATCGTATCCCCGTTGATCACCAATCGTTCCTCAGCTTTTCCTCATCTTTTCATGAAGCCTAAAAACTCCCATCAAAGTGTATTCAGCCTCTTGTAACCCGTAAACGTAGCTTGATTCAGATCGTATTGTATAGACCCTTTTTTCATGGCCATTGATGTTTTTCTGCTGCCCAAAACTGGCAGACTGGCACAGAAACGCTGAACAGGCTCGCATGTAGCTCGTGTTCACCAGCTACTAAAACTTAGTTTTCCCATTCTTTCGTAACCCCCTTCGCCTCCATCAATCCTTCCGTGCGAGACCAATTGCTTCCATTAAAGACTCCATGTGACTTTAAAATTAGAAAAAATCAAATATGTTGCTCAAAAAAGGTGAATTAATGTCTCACCAAATCCAAAATCACTGATAAGACGGTAGGTCCAAATTTACCACAGTAACTCGGTGTCTTGATATCTTTTTCTGTCATATTTATTAATTCTACCATATCATGGCACTGAAAGTACATAAAAGATGGGTGGGTTATGGTAGGGGAGGGGGGTGAGCTGGCGACTTGAAATGGCCTGGCGATAGATAGTGATCTTTTGCGATCTTGATAGATCCGACGATTCAGGACACACGACTACCGTAACTGGCGTCTTGATTCGTAGGCCTACAACATTTTTCGTTGATTTCTTTAATTCGCTTGGTTTTTGTTTCTACAGTATCTCAGGTTTCCAGCACCGATTATGTAGTCAACTGGAGAATCGATTTTACGCTCTGTCGGTGGTCATTTAGGTTTTATAACTACAGAGAACCAAGCAGTTCTGCGGAAAAACTCAATTATGTCATATTAGGCGATAATGTCTTCCATCTTGTCTGCTAATTCGAAAGGCACTGAGCTTCCGCGTTCTATTGTATTATCAGTTTCTTCTGAAGACACAAGAATCTCTACTGAACAGCTTAAAGAGCTTGAAGGGGCGAAGGGCTACCAAAGCTAGGGCGGATATCGATCAGAAATATTCTACCTATCTTTACTGAACTTTTTGAATCAAAGGAAAATTTAAAAATTAAAATCCCTACATTCAATTGCTCACCTGTTGCGCTATAGGATAACAATGTCTTATTGCAATTTAAATTCCTAACTCTACTTATGTATAGTTCAATACGTATGCAATCGGTTTGCCACTTCGAGGAGAAACTTAGTGCATGGCGTAACCATGAAGTATTGATTGGAGCCCTTGCATTTGTCGTCAGGAATAATGCGTGATCCCGTCGATGTTTTTGTTTTTCGTATTCGGTTCGTCGTTCAGCTTTCCTGACAGCGCACATCGACTAACCAGCCGACCACATACCAGCCAAGGGGCTATTTCTGAACGGTTTCACTGTCCCTAGCTGTTTCACCTTATAAACCGGTACTCGTTAAATAGAGAAAATGGCTGCTGTAATACTTGTTCATATATGAACGTATGGTCGCTCCAGTTGTGGCCCTCGCTTACATGATGTTAGTCGATTTTGATTATTTGTTCAACGTTTACTAAGTAACATCAATCTTGTGACAGAAATTTATGAAGAAGAAGTTTTTTTATTTCATCTTGTGAATTCCGAGAGAATCGTTCATTGGTTCTCAAATTCTTCTGATTAATTTGATTAGTTCAGGACGTTTAACTACAGCATTATTCAAGGTCGACACTGATTTAAAATGACAGACGAAAAAAAAAACTTTTATAAAAAAAACTGTTCGCTGAATATCTCATTATTCACATGACAGTCGTGAATGAATTGCCACGCGTTATCTACTGGTTCCAGTTTAGAATGTGCCACGCATTCGACTTTCATTCAGAATCGTAGTGGCGTGCTGAATGCGTGTGTGGCCTGTACAATGACTGGCGGTGTCCAGCCGATATACAAGTCAGTGCTTTTATCCTCCCAGGCGAGGCTAGTACTAATTAACCGACCCTGGAGGGATGTAGGACTCGGTTGGTTGAGGTGTATAGAGCCGGGATTCGAACCCGTGACCATGCAAGTCGGATAGTGCGCCACTTGGTTCGCCCATGATTGATATTAAAGAGATAGAAATCCTATAAAAATGTTTTATTGAGCTAAGAAGCTGACAAGATTCGCTGAATACGTCCACCGTTTGTGACTAGCTTTCTAGTTTCAATTCCATCTGATTGCTACCGATTTTTGTTACCGTATCAGCCAGTGTTGGTTCAAGCCTCATCTCGGGAAAGATCCTTTTTCGGACTTTTTTTTGCCATTCAGGGCTTTTGTTGGTCGTTCCGTTACTGAAATAAATATTAATATTTGGAATTGGATCTGCTCTGTTGATTTAATCTTGTCAACATTACTTTTTAGACACTAACCATGTGCAGCTCTTTGTCCTGGTTGTTCTTTTCATGCGAATTTTTATCACTCCATCGAAAGTGGAGAGAGAATTTTCGAAGACATTCATTCCCATTTTATAATGATTTATACCTCGGGTGCGGAGACAGCCAAGATGAAGAAGGAGAGGGGAGTGGGAAGGGAAGTAGAACTGTGAAAGACCAGAATTCCATCACCACACCCCTATCTCGTCTTCACCAATAAAACAGGGCATTAATTCGCATTCGCTTCCAATCACGGATTACATTCGTCAAGCCCTTTTTATTTATTAAAATCAGAAAATTTGTGGGAACGCCCTCATGTGGAACCTTTTCTTATCTACAATTCGCTAATCCTGGTCTGTAGACATACCGCTACTAGAGGGTTCAATTCGGGAACCGTTCTTTGATATATTCCCTACCCATTCCTTTCTCGACCATTGCGTTTCTGAAACGGTTTTTCAATTGGCAGAAATGATCAGGGAATGTGTTGAAACTGTTCTCTACTCATGGGTAAATCCTTATGGTTTTATAGCAGTTCAAGGGAAAATAAATCGATCTCGAAGGCTCCGGCGGCTCAGAAGGCCTCCCTCAAAACAGGGCGGTCTGTCCAAGACTTCGTAGAAGTTTATATGCCTCCTCTAGAACTTGGAGAATAACAAAAAATATCTATTTATAACCTGTCTTTATGCCTAACGAAAGTTACTCCTTGTGGATCAGTTGTTTTACATTTAAGAGGTCGTCAAGGTCGTCAAGCTGGGCTTTCAGGCTGTTTTTTTCCATTCTGTTTTTTCTTTTTCACTTTTNCAAAAAATATCTATTTATAACCTGTCTATATTCCTGAGGAAAGTTACTCCTTGGGGATCAGTTGTTCTACATTTAAGAGGTCGTCAAGGTCGTCAAGCTGGCCTTCAGGCTGTTTTTTTCCATTCTGTTTTTTCTTTTTCACTTTTTAATGATCGGCTATAAATCATTCTGATAACGTCTGTATTATATCGTTATTTGGAACGATATTCTGCGTATTTTATGGAGTATTCCCATAATAAATTGAAGGTTAATGCTTTCATGAATTACAGAAGTATGGCTTTGATTCACCGCCTCAACCTACTGATGATATTCGTTATGTTCCATATTTCACCAGTCCTCTCCCAAGCACTCAAAGGTGAGACAACATATCAATAAATAAACCAAGGGTGTTGAAGCATTTGGAGGTGATCAAATTTGTTGTGGAATGCGCCATGCATTCGACTCTCATTTAGAATCGTGGTGCGGTACAACTTGTATCTAGCCTGTAGAGCAACCTGTGAATGGTAACAGGTGTTCCAGTTGGGGATTCTATCCCAGGTGACTTTGGTTCTAACGATTAACGGTTTGGGAAGCTTGAATTCCTCGGGTGGATATTGGAAAAGGTTTGATGACCACACCATGCATTTATGCAGCAGTGGCTCCAATTGACCCTTCATCGACCCCGTTCAATGCCTTTCTCCAATGACTTTCAAGAAAGAATAAAACCATGGAAATAAATAGTAAATAAATGAGTGGTAAATAAATGGACGGATGTCAATAGAAAACAAATGGCAATTTCTGGTATATAAAGTATTTGACATACCAGTTAATTCTTTTTCAGAAGTCGAATTCTTTTCTTTTGCCGCCGCGGCACCGTCGTCCATCTGGAAACCGTCGTTGATCTTCTACGCTGTTCCACTGTTTATACTCGCTTTGGTGATGAACAAAACCATTTCCGGCAACATTCGTATGATCTACGATCAGTGATCGCCTATTGTTTGGTGATTACAATCGATAGTAAGAACGATGTCCGGAATCTTCTACTAAGTAATCATGTCTACTGATATTGCGTCGTCGTGTCCATCAATTTTTGTTTCTTGGGGTAATTATTTACCGGTATGTATAGGAGTTGGCTTGAAGCCATCAACTTATTTTGCTTATTCAGCTGCTCATGAAAATTTTCGAAAAAGTTTTTCGATTTGTGGTCAGTTGTAAGTGTATTCGGTATAGTGTACGGAATTGTAATAATAAATATGATATTTAGGGAATTATTTCTCTTATTATTTCCATTCCTAGCAATAAATGTTTGGTTAGAAGTGGAAAGAGTAATGATTTTGACATATAGGACTTTGTCTTAGTGCCAAGGTGCCAAGGACAAACCAAAGAAAATGTAATGGGAACCTGCTGAGCTTACAAAAGTAGTTATATACCACATTAGAAGAATAGTAATAGCAAAATAAGGTGCGTACGCGAAGTATAAACAGTGGCGCTCGCGTTTGGAATGCTCAGTTCCTGCGTATGCGCAGCGTCTGCGAACCTGCGCGAGGTAATAGTGCATCATGTTTTTGACGTTTGCCCTGAAATCCTGCCTAATTGATGGATAGGAGCGATAAGGGGCTGAAGTCTTTGCTCAAGCATATCCCATTACTTCCCCATTACTTTATTAAGACCACAGCATAATTTTCGTTGTTGTGAGACATTACGAACTTTCGAATTTTTCCATTTTAGAAGAGATCTCCATCATTGTGTTGAAATAATTTTTTTTTTCATGAATGTATACCAATATGCCCATTCATTCATTACATGCCCGGTCGATCCGAATGGGTGCCTGATTGGGAAGAGCAGCTGTACAATTATCGATGTCGTAACCAGTTGTTTACCACCAATATGTTTAGTTTTTTCCACGAAAGAGGGAGGGAGAGGAAAAAATGTGGCAACGATTAAACGATTAGTACAAAATGTTCATGTGATTTCATCAACAAAATGAGAACTAATTCAATTTAGCATGTGGCTAATGAAAGACCAGTTTATGCAACATCAGAAAAATGATTAAATGTTCATGCCAGACAGCTTTTTGTGATTTCCGCAGTACACTCAACTCCCACTCCCACTCTTGCGTTTTTGAATTGCATTCCTGCCCATAGAATGAGCAATGAAATAAATGGAATCAAAGATCATGGACGAATGCATTTCGTTAATGGTTTGGAACGAGGGAGTGAAATCCCAGTTTTTTGAGGGAATAGTGATCTAATGGAAGGGGCATGGTCGTTCCTCTCGACATTCCCAAGGGCGCCGCGACGTCGTCACGCGGCGGAAGCGATTGTCGCGAGCGGCGATTTGTTCCAACGGGCAGACGAATGGACGGCGGAAGTGAGTGGCATCTAAAAGGGCGCCAGACGGTAAATTCGATCCGTAACTTTGTCGAGCCCGTTCTGGGTAGACTATGGTTGTAGCAGTTGAGTAAAAGCGAAGTAGGCTTTTGATTAATTATATTGGATTAATAGTAGGCGAAGGGATTTCATCGAGATTGGGACCACGTGGGTTCCAACACATGGCGACCACGGCAGGCTCAACTCCTGCAAATCCTGCTACGATCGCCATATGTGGAAGCCCATTTGGCCATCTTATGATGGGAACAGTCTATGGAAAGATCTAGCATCTTTTATACGAGCTGGACAAAACAATAAATAGACCTAAGCGTCAAAACAAATTTCTAATTAAGAGATGATGGAATGTAACTGATTCAGCGAGACGTTACCATTGGTATGTTTATTGAAAGATGACTAAGAGTGTTATTGTACAGGAAATTATGAGGATCATTTAGTACATAAAAAGCTGAGTATTCTTAGGTACAGTCCAAGAAGACAGCCTTAGAAGCAAGTAAGCTACTTTCATACGACTTGGCGCTTAGAACCCGTACCGGAACACATTATAGCGACGTGGACTATGCTTAAGATTCAGTAGCCGCGTCTACACTCGGCGTTGGCTGGTTAGCGATAGGCGAACGGCGTGTATGAATGGATGGAGGCAGTAGGCATTGATACCCGGAGTATAAAGTCGCCCAAATAGTTCTATGTGGTGTAAATACCCTTCGCTGGTGCTTTGATCATTTCGCACCAAATTAGCGAGGAGATGCAGCTTTGTTTCGAGATCAATAGGAGATACCAATTACAGTTATCAAAGGAATTACGAATATGTCCAGATTAAGGTATGAAAGATAATCACGTGTAATAGCACGGGGGTAGAAAAACTCTGGCATTCGTCCACCGTATTTCAGTAGTCGATTCACGTAGTGAACACCTTGTTCCAGTGGATGTATGACTTTATCGTTGAAGAGCATTGTCATACGGGCTGCATTTGAGGTGAATCTGGAACACAATCCTTGTTAAATTACAAAGATTTTGCAATCGAAGTATAAACTGCACCTAGCCTTAGCGCTATCCCCATTTCTGGCTTCAGGATTTCCCGCTTCACGTAGGCTTCAAAATTGAGGTGGCGTTTTGCCACCAAGTTGGTATTGTCCAAAAGGACATTTAACCATATATATATATATATNTATTTATTTATTTATTTATTTATTTATTTATTATACAAGACATGAACGTGTGAACAAATTAATAAAAGAACAACCGATGAACAAGAATCAGCTTAACATTGGGCAAATTTTTGAAACAATATAAGAAATCAAGAACCGACTCCCTCATGGCATTTCTTTTCAATTGCCGACCCACAAAAAAGATTGCGAGTCGGCAATTGAAAAGAAATGCCATGAGGGAAAAAGAGGGCCAGGTATTTCACAATGTCAAGCACTTATCTGGATAATTTTCAAACCCAATGTGAAACGCTATCTGAGGCATACGTCGCTTGCTCAACTTGTTAACAAGGGAGCTACTTTGTTTGTGAAAAAGTGACACCGCAATTTAATCTAGCTCGACCGTCATCGACTTTCATGCTATCTTCTCTAGTAACGGACAGTCTTAGGTTCCAGAGATCGTTGAATGGCATATCAACCTTGCCTTGGAATAACTTATGAAATAATAAAAATTGTTTCGCTTGCGTCTCAACTGCAAGGTTGCTAGACCGAATTCTTGTCTTTTTTTTGTCTGGGTAGCGAAAGTCGTTCGAAGTATTTGTGAATACACCCTCTCTAAAACATCCGTCGCCGTAATGTTCAGGAGAATATGGGAGAGCGCAGATAACACGAGAAAATGCTGAGTCATCTCAGGTCGCTAAGGAACAATTTCTTGTTGTAAAGGAGGGCCTAGCGCCCATATGAAGGTGTTGTAGATAGTAATCGCAGTTATGTTTGTAGTACAGTCCTTCGGCCTCCTCTATCTGTGTAAGGACATTCGAATCGCTAATGAAGGCGTGATCCCACGCGATCAATGTCTTTTTCTCCCTAGGCCTCCTTGCGGGCATATAATCCTTACAACACTCATCCCGTCACTCAACCGTAGGATCTAAGAAGTCAGTGTCAACACTACCGCCACAGAGGACGGCTGCTACCTATACTCTCCTACAGCTAGACAAAGCGAATTCATAGGGTAAGGACTTATTCCTTCTAGAACCGAACGGAGCCTAAGCCCCATTACATTTTGCTATTTTTTTACATGTATGTCACTTTGCATAGCGTTCGACTGCAGATGGACTGTCCTAGAACCTAACTATGGAATTTAACAGTTAAGAAACGCCCTTCACTCTAGCTCTGACTAAGGACTGTGCCCTTTCCACTTCATGAAAGGCGCCCAGGCTCGAAACAGTTGCATGACTGCCTTCCCTGATATGATTTAGACGTGAGACAACAATTAGGTAGGAACAACGAAAGCCAGAAAAAGGGTAATGGGGTTTAAGACATGAGCGAAACGTTTAGTACAGTAACCTTAGTGCAGCTAACGGGCATAAGGCACATACCTTTTATTTTCAAGAACCCGCTTCATAACTGCTGTCAGATTCTCGGTGGTCAAATTATGTTTGCTGAATACTTCACCATAACCCTGAAACTGATACTTCTGAAATCGCATTCACAGGCTCACTTGGCTGAATCATATTAAAAAGTAATAATTATAACAAGCAAAATGGATTTGATCAAGGCTGTTAACAGCAAGGAATGGATGAATGGGGCTTACAGGCACGATTACAATATGATACAATTATTAAGATATTGCCCTTCTCAGATTGAATGACTGATTTCTGACCACACATTTTTCGAAGGGGAGATCCCCAATTCAGCGGGCTCTACAAACTTTTAATACTACATGGGGGCGTGTCAATATGCCTGCTCTTGAGGAAATTCCATCTGTTGCACTTGAGCTCGCTTTTCAATGTGTAACTTGCNCCCCCCCCCCCCTCCTTCCTCCTGTGGAGTTCTTTTTGAAAAGCGTAGTCTGAGAATCGAGTATGATTCCGAGTAGATCTTCGTGTTCAAACTTATGCACTTCAAGCACTTCAAACTCTGGAAATTTCGGATCGTTCAATAAGTGCACAACCGTGACGGCTCACCTTATTCTTCGTCATCCATCCATTCCTTACTTGCTCGGCGAACATCGGCATGAAAATGGAAGGCACCGACGAACATGTTGCTTCTTTCACACTAAAGTCATAACTGTAGCTGTTCGCATTTTAGTACATTTACATCGTCTAGAAGATAACTAGAAACGTAAAAAAGTAGTCAAAGTGTTCAGATTGTCCTCCATACCGAGTTCAGGTGGGGTGGTGGTTGTTCATATTCTCCCAGTGGGCCCTACCGTGTTGGGATTGGCGGGATTACTGTCAGAGGCATCCCGTCTAGAACCGTGTGCCTGCTATTTCCCCATTGCCGGTTTGGGTAGGCAAGACGTCCGTCTACTCACATTTCTATGCATTTAATTGGAGTTACCCTTCTGTTAATGTAAACAAGGAGGTACATACCTCTTAAGGCCACCATGGCTGAAGAATAGTACTGTTCGGTTATCGAAGAGCACATCGACCTGAGGTATCCATTTCAATGCATATATATGTGGCTTCATCTTCATCTCTTTACCGTTGTAAGACCATACGATACGGTAGTCCGTCAGGGAACTCAGTGTTTCAAGCACAGCCTCGAACTGGGTCTTCGGAATTTGTCCCCAGTTAATCACCGTGCCTGTATTTTTGTGATAATTTTTTTGTAAGGAGGGTATTTTGTTCATCGATATGCGATTTTTTTCAGTTCTCTTTTAATGAATAAGAAGGCATAGAACGAGAAAGTTCCTACCAAAAGCAACGAGAATTGTTCCTTNAGCACAGCCTCGAACTGGGTCTTCGGAATTTGTCCCCAGTTAATCACCGTGCCTGTATTTTTGTGATAATTTTTTTGTAAGGAGGGTATTTTCTTCCTCGATATGCGATTTTTTTCAGTCCTCTTTTAATGAATAAGAAGGCATAGAACGAGAAAGTTCCTACCAAAAGCAACGAGAATTGTTCCTTTCGATTTCGGATCGGAGACAAATTCGAGTAGTTCCCCAGTCAATCGTTTTGGTGTCGGACAATAAGCACCATAATCGAGAAGCTATAAACGGATTTCCAGAAATTTAATTAGGTCTCGGTTTTCTTACGGCAGACACTAAGCAGTGCCTGATTAGGCTCACCACTCACATCATTCGTCCTTGGAAATGGACCAATCAGATCGGTCGGCATGTCAGTGAGTGTAGCTGATGCGGTTTTGTGGTACTCGAAAAAGCTCAAAACACGGAAATGAACTTCAAAACAGAGAAAAAATGGTATGAATACAGATTCATTCAACATGCGATTCGATGTTGTGGACTGCGCAACAGTGAATGAAGCTCTTGAGCCCCTGTGGTATTACACGCACCCCTCGTCCCTACCCCCTCCCCCTCCCCAGAAACCTTTCCAGTAGCGGTTCTCTCGACGAAGTTGGAGCTGGGACAAGAACTAGGGCAGGAGTTAGTTTTACTGTATCATGGGCCTTGCGTGAAGGTCAACCTCCAAACTATATGTCAGCAAGAACTAGAATAACTACACAGATGGCTGGTCCGTTCCGTTCTCCGGGGATGTTTCTTTGATAACAGTCTCGTCTGACTGGATTGAAAAATAACCCAGTTCGCACATCCTCCCGTTTTGATGGCTGGATATGCTACTGAATCCCAACTTGCTCTTGATTCCTTGTCAAGTTCATGGCGTATTTTCGAAATTTCCGTCAACATCAGTAGGAGCATTCACAAACTTACCTAAATGATGGCACAACTGGAGCTAAGGCAATTTTCATTCTTTCTCCAACTATTATCCCGTTTATCACGAAGTTTTCTATCCATTCCAGTGTGCTAGCAAGGCGGTATAAGAAGAACGACGGCTTGAATTCAGTATCGTCAACTGGCATGAAGTGACGTGGTGTGAGAACGAAATTTCTGAAAAAAAAAAGTTTAGCTATCTCCACTTCGATGAGGTGTTGAACTTCTGAATATAATAAAAATGTAATATAAATAGTATAAAGGAACAAAGGGGATAGACGTTAATTTCATAGTAATCCAACAGAATTAGTCAAATTAGCTCACATTCCATGAGCTCGCATGGAACCAGTAGCAGATTCAATGTGAGTCGAACTCATTAGTACATGATGTGCCTGAATATCCAATTTTAAACCAAACCGAATGACCTGCCTGGCTATGCTGCGGAAAAGCATGCTACAGCGAATCTCCCAAAGGCACCGAAACCTTTTTACATAACTATGTAGCTGCTAGGCAGCTACTAAAAATTGCGTTGACTTGTTGCCTACAAATATTCCGTCAATTTAAAGTCTTGAGTTCATGGATTCGCTATGGGGTGCGAGATTCTATAAGTCAAGGTGCTGACCCATGCAAATTTTTCATTTCTGATTATTCATACAGCTTCCAGAAAGGGCTCACCTGATTGAGTGTGGCAATCCCATAAGCACATGCGGCGAACAGGGTATCAGTGAGAATCAGGTCGAATTTCTCCTTCACCATTTCATCAAAGAAGTCACGATGCTCTTTTAGTACAGTCTCACAACTGCCGGCCCCGTAGAAAAATGGAAGTCTCTGAAATATTTGCATATGCAGCTCGAAAGCGGTCACTCCGATAAGTAGGTTTTTCGTTGAAGTTGTGATTATTAGTTCCTATGTAATCTCAAAAATGTTTTCTACTTGGGGGAGGGTTGTTGCGTTTTGCATAGGGGCGGGGAGAGGGGAGGGCAGGGGCGAGGGGAGGGCAAGGGCGAGGGAGGACTACCTACCCAAACCTCTTCTTGTGTGGGTTAGTTGGCACAATTCGGTTGCCTCCTGGATCAAAAATAAAAGCACACAGCATTGAAATTTGTGTATGATTTAGAATTCAAACAACGCCTCCGTGAGAAGAGATCTGGGGGAGGGGGGAGGGGGACATGACCGAAAATAGGTATAGAATTGGAAACAATCGTGACAACCCAACCCCTTCCCTCGTTGCCTGAGGGCGGCTTCAGACGGAGTTCCAGTGAGGAGGAGAAAAGTCGTTTGAGTTCGGTTTCTTTCACCCGTAGACAGCATGCGTGCTACCAGTGCGCCCCTTACTTCTGGATAGTTCTCATACTGTTTACACTCCTATTTACAAATACCAAAAAGCATCACGAACCTGATCTGTGACGCCATAATCGTCTTGCCATAAGAAGGTCTGGAACTTATCATCCGCAAAGGGATTGGAATGATCTAAACAATATGCTGAATGACCCATATAAACCCACGTGGGGCTCGCATCAGATTTGCTTCCCCATATAAAAGGGGACAACTCCAGTATGGGAATCAATTCAGCTCGACTCGGATTCCTTCTTTCTTGATGTTTTCGATAAAAGAGAGGGTGAGGTGAGCAGGAATCTTGGAAGGGATGTAGATGGAAAGGTAACAGAAGAGTCTTACAGGATTAAAGCTCTGCCTCATAATTATTTTTAAACACTATTGATCTTCAACTCTTCTAGTGCAGAAATAACCATCACATCCTTGACGAGGAAAAATGGCTGTAAGACATTCTGCTCTCATCGAGTTTCACCTCGAATACTATTTCTCCTCTGTAGCCTAGGACTACCGCTACCTCCCCGACAAAGAAGCGGGTTTATTCCAAAAACCTGACCCCCAAAAACTTGAATCAAGCCTGCTTAAGCTTATTGCACTCAGCCTATCGAAATTGTCCTATTTGGAATTGCTAAGGTTACCCCGCTTTTCTTCTCCTAGGTTCGAAAAAAGCTGTTCCTTTTCAATTCCTGAGCACATATCCAAAGAAAAATCACCTGTTCTGAGCCATCTGACAATTGGGCTGAGGCAGGGGAAATGTTTCCCCTCAATTCCAGCTGTATATAGAATTGAATTATCTACCAATATAAGTTACAGTAACCCGTTACTACTAATAATGTACGATACCAGTTGAAAATGTTTTGAAAGTCCCCAAGACAGCCTTCCCGTCTTTACTTCAAGCACCACGGACACGGTCTCTTCGAACGAACGTAGACCATAGGAAGTAGGCGTGGACTCGGTCATGAGTTGCTCTTCCTCACGCGGAAGCTCTTGAAGTGATCCCCCAGGCGACCACACCCGTGGCTGGCTGTCTCATTAGAGCAGCTTGCCCACTAAGTATAAACACCACCCCGCAGAACACATATTTACACCTAATTTGTTCTGACTTCAAGAAAATATTGGGAAACATGTTTCTGTAGAAGAACTTACTTTTGATCCTTAGAATTCGATCTTCCAGTCCAAAATTCATCTCATCAGGATATGCTTCCATATAAAGAAACACCTGATGGCCATCGTTTTTCAGCTTGTTGATGAGTGCCATAAAAGAACCAGTATGCGATCTTCCTTGAGGCATTGATGCCACCAGAATTTTCGCGCCATGCACAATGTCAAGGGATGCTATTATCAGGAGTAGTAGAGGGATCATAATTTATTCCAAAATTCATCTCATCAGGATATGCTTCCATATAAAGAAACACCTGATGGCCATCGTTTTTCAGCTTGTTGATGAGTGCCATAAAAGAACCAGTATGCGATCTTCCTTGAGGCATTGATGCCACCAGAATTTTCGCGCCATGCACAATGTCAAGGGATGCTATTATCAGGAGTAGTAGAGGGATCATAATTTATTCATCCGGATATGCTTCCATATAAAGAAACACCTGATGGCCATTGTTTTTCAGCTTGTTGATGAGTGCCATAAAAGAACCAGTATGCGATCGTCCTTGAGGCATTGATGCCACCAGAATTTTCGCGCCATGCACAATGTCAAGGGATGCTATTATCAGGAGTAGTAGAGGGAACATAATTTATTTTTACCTAAATCGACTCGAAAAAAAATCACAACAACGTCTCTACTAGCAATTAAAACACCGTTAGATTTGCTTTGAGTATGATTTTTCCTAGCCAGATTGTGCAAAATCTGTGTCTGGTACTGTGACAATAGGAATAAACAAGCGATTCCTCCAGGGACAAACATAAATAAACAGCTTCGAATGTGAAAAATTCTAGAGGCCGGGAAGGAAGTCATGGCTGTGTTTGTGGAATAATTGTCAAACGGACATTATAGGAGTTCAAAGGGGTCCGACAAATGGTCTAAGCCACTCTGGAGGGGAAACTGTAAATATGATGGCACGAGACGGGCATTGAAGAGACTAGCAACTGAATCCGAAGACGAGGCGCAACCCATAGAGACTGGCTGGGGCTCTCGCTTTAGCCGACTGTGGCTGTACAGACAGTGATGATTTGTATTAAAATGAATAGAACACTGACTGCTAGAAGTAATCCAATTACATGGCCAGAGCCCATTAAACAGGTTCAATTAGTGGCCATAAAGCAGGCGGATTGTAAAAGGCGAACGAGTCTCTGAGTACGGAGGAAAGTGCAACTCGAACCTTCCATCGAATGTTCGGGACAGAGTTCGAAAAAAAAAGTGATGAATTATTCTTTCGATTAATTCGATTTACTTGCCGTTCAGAAGCTGCAAGACGAATCTCATCTTGCTTATGGCGATGCGCCATGAATACGGAGTAGAGTAAGTATCGCGATAACATTTCAATGTGAACTTGACTATGACAATTATTGTCCGGCTTAGGGTTGCTCAAAAGATCTCGATATAAATGTGGTACCAATTAAACGATCTCGAAGGATGTTATTCGTGGAATTACTCGCTTTCGGTGGACCCCCTCAATTTGCTCTACAACCACTTGCCTTTAGTATCGGAGGTGTAGAAATGTCAAAATGAGTTTTACCCGTATATGGATGAAAAGCTGGCTGGTTCATAGGTGGAAATCAAGATTTTAATTCATGGCGTCAGGTGAATTTTTCCCTGTAGACGTTCTCACATTCGCTCCCAGAGGTTATAGACAAAGCTAGGCTTGAAATTTATCACGACAATGAATACCAGCTCCAAACATAATTAAGTTCCACTGCCGAAATCATAGAAAGTGAGTAGTGCTGATCAGAAAAAATAATGAAAAATTCTAGAAAAGAAGTAAACAATAACTGGTGTACACTGCAAATTTGGACGAGTTTCAAAGTCACAAGTGGTCTGATCAATACGTACATAGTTGCTTATCAGAGTTCGAGTTATAATGCCTCGATTTTAGCGATAGAGATATGTTCTCCGGAAGTCTTATACAAGGCACGGACATTAGTCTATGAACGGCACCCATTCCAAGTATCACTGATAAGGTCGCTTTCGACACTTTCTCAATAAAGGATGATCGGTTTTTGCCCAAAGGGGGAAATAAAGCAAAATCGTGAGTACCGCTGAAAAATAGCCCGCCATTTCACTGTGGTATACCTTTATACTTGGCGTTGGCTGATCGGCGATAGGCGAAAGGCGATGCGGTGGATGTAAGGGGCGGGCATCAAAGGTGATCGATACACATTTTGTGAATGATAATCCTTCCCTTCATGAATAGATTTTAAAACTTTGGAGTGCCGAGGCTCTGTCCCTCCCAATTGCCTAACACAAACAATTTATCAACAAACGTAAATGTTGCAAACAGCTGAGATATGAAATCGCGCAGATCAGGCGAGATTTAGCGCTCTGAAGACATGAACTTATAGCTTAGCTTGTATGTGTTTCCATCGTCCATCCCCTTTATCCTGTATCCTCATCCTTTTGCCGATTGCCTAAGGCCTGTCGTCTTTCGCCTTTCGCCAACCCCAGTATGAAGTCACCCAAATAGTTGTATGTGGTGTAAACACCCTTCGCTGGTGCTTTGGTCATTTCGCATCAAATTAATGAGGGGATCCAAGTTTGTTCCGAGATCAATAGGAGATACCAATTGCAATCATCAAAGGAATTATGAATATGTCAATGTTGAGGTATGAGAAATAATCTCGTGTTATACCACGAGGGTAGAAAAACTCTGGCATCCGTCCACCGTATTTCAGAAGCCGATTTACGAAGTGAACACCATGTTCCAGTGGATGGACGACTTTATCGTTGAAGAACGTGGTCATACGGGCCGCATTTGAGTTAAATCTGAAACGGATCCTCCGTTGACTTAGTTTTGTAAACAAAGTATAAACGGATGGTAGGGTAATGAAGTCAGAATGGAACCAGACGTTGCCAATAACGCCCCGATCTATTTATTCAACCAGACAACAAAATAACTAGAACGAATCCGCAAAAAAAAAGGAAATCGGATCACTCTGGAACCATTTCAGTGTGAGTGAAAGTTATATTCTGCCAGGTGTCCTCGGTGTTATAAAAAAAAGGTACCTACCTTCTATTTTCGAGAACCCGCTTCATAGCTGCTGTCAGATTCTCTGTGGTCAAATTATGCTTGCTGAACACTTCAGCATAACCCTGAAACTGACATTTTTGAACTTCAATTCACAGCAGTATCTAAATCGTAATTATTGACCAATTAATCAATAAAAATCAATTCAATCGATCAAGGAATATTTACAAGCAATATGGATTGAATTGTCGCTGTTAACAGTCGGAAGACGATAAATTGGGCCCACTTTTGTAAACAATAAACAGACCGTACCCACATTGAACACAAGCTTATTTTCAGTTGAACATATCCAACATATCAACACACCGCATAGCATTATCGCTGTGTAGGGTGCCCAAACAGAGGATACTAATAGAACGAGTGAGTAAGACTACTGTGAGCTCCGCATTCCCCGATGTGGACCCTCCTCTTAGACCGATAAGTTGGAAATGAACGACATCGAAAGTTTCCCAAGCAATGATTTCCTATGGAAATGCTTTATTCCTCGCTGTTGTCTTCCAACTTGCCCTTTGTTTTCTTTTTTCACCTTCAACCAATTACTAGTCTACAACCTGGGGAATTATTCCATGGCCGGTAGGATAGAAGCCTTCGAAAGAGCTTGTTGTAGCTCAAAATTATCGATAAGCGAGGGGTAGGAATCAAAACCAAGGTTTTGTATTGATTTAGCATTCAAATTTACGCTGCCTTGGCCTTTCAAATTCCTAATGCACTGAAGGATTGTGACGGCTTACCTTATTCTTCGCCATCCATCCATTCCTCACTTGCTCAGCAAACATCGGCATGAAAATTGAAGGCACCGACGAGCATGTCGCTTCTTTCACACTGAAGTTGTAACTGCAGCTGATCGCATTTATTTCATTTTCATCGTCCAGAAGCTAATAAGCCATGTAAAAAGGTAGTCAAGTAGGCCACATTAACTCGAGTGGGAGGCAGTTGATTCTAGGCTCCCAGTAGGTTCTACCATATTAGGATTAGCGAGATTACTGTAAAAGGCATTCCGTCTAGAACCGCGAGCCTGCTATTTCCTCGCTGACCGTTTAGAGCGATAAGCAAGATGTCCGTCTACTAATTTTTCTATGAATTGGCCCTGTTGTTAGTGTAAACAAGGAGGTATATACCTTTTGAGGCCACCATGGCTGAAGAATAGAACTGTCCGGTTATTGAAGAGCACATCGACTTGAGGTATCCATGATGAGGCATATATGTGTGGCTTCATCTTCATCTTTTTGCCGTTGTAAGCCCATACGATACGGTAGTCCGTCAGGGAATTCAGTGTTTCGAGCACGGCTTTAAACTTGGACTTCGGGGTTCTGCCCCAGTTAATTACCGTGCCTAAATGTTGACAAGGTGAAATTTCTTAAATCTAATTTTTGCAAGAAAAATTAGTCGTCCATTTTACTGCTACTAATTTATTCTGAGCTTTTTTATTAAAGATGTACTAAAAAACAAAAACTACCGAAAGCAACGAGAATGGTTCCTTTAGATTTCGGATCGGAGACGAATTTGAGTAATTTACCAGTTAATGGCTTTGGCGTTGGACAGTAAGCACCATAGTCGAAAAGCTGTAAATTGATTCCCGAAATTGCTTACTATCTCTCAAGATAAGCACAGAGTAGACTCTTTGTCAGGTTCCCATCGAAGAAAGCTCATTACCAACAGCAAGACAAGTACTCCGATCACTCACATCATTCGTCCTAGGAAACGGCCCAAGCAGATCGGTCGGCATGTCAGTGAGTGCTGCTGATGCGGTTCTATGGTATTCGAAAAAGCTGCAAAAATTCGAAAAAGCTGCAAAAGGCGAAATTAAACTCGAAAACACAGAAAAGTTAAAGGTGAATTCCCGTCAAAAACCCAACAAAAACCATCTGTGCCCCGAAAAGTTTTTATTAGTAGCCATTTTCATGATATGTTTCGTGGAGATGGTTTTGGTCAACATTTTTGTGCCGATGAACTCGTCCGGATCTAGGCAGTCGGCAAAGAAGGGAGAATCGTCAGCTCTAATCGGAATGAGATTCAATGCCGTGGGCTGTGCAAGAGAGAGAGCGCCATCGAGATCCTGCGGTGCATCCATTTGATGGTCCTTCCCAAGAAGTTCTTTCTCTTATCAATCATAAAAACTAACCCCACGTACTAAGTGGTCCCACAAACCGACAGGACCTATGTAGTATTATTATATATCGTTACCACTGCGTGGGGCTCAGACTCCTAACCATATGCAAGCAAGATCTAGATGAACTAGCAAGGATGGCTGAACCTTTCAGTTCTTCGGGGTTCGTTGTTTGATAACAAACTGGTCCTGCAGAATTCAAAAAAGACCCAGTTCCCATATCTTCCTTTTGTGAAGGCTGATCATCCATCTTGAATCCCGGATCATTCTGGATTCCCTGTAGAGTTCGAAAGTTTCGAACAACACTTTAAGAACTCACCTGAATGATGGCACAGCTGGAGCTAAAGCCATTTTTATTCTTTCCCCAACAATGATCCCGCTTATAATGAAGTTTCCTATCCATTCCAGTGTGCTGGCTAGGCGGTATGAAAAGAACGCCGGCTTGAATTCAGCATCATCAACTGGCATGAAGTGACGTGGTGTGAGAACGAAATTTCTAAAAAAAAAAACATAAGCTATCCACTTCTATGAGATGGAAAAATCAAAATACAATGTAAATGTAATATAGATGGGCGTACAAAGTGAAAAGACGCAATTTCATAGTAATTCAGCAAAATCACTCTCAAATTAACTCACATTCCATAAGCTCGCATGGAACCAGTAGCAGATTCTATGTGCGTCGAACTCATAAGTACGTGATGTGCCTAGAAATGGAAAATCGAAATCAGTACAAATGGCCGCTTCCCAGGTAATAAAAAAGGCGAATAAAAGGAAAAAGTTGTTGGTGGTATTAGGTGAGTATGGCGAAGTCGTGAACCCTAGAAGTTTGTCATCTGGGGTTGTTCACAGATTTCAGATCACCTTTCAAGTCAAAAGCTTAAAAATGGCCTTCGTTTATGTCTACGAAATATGTTCTAAGTAAATGCAAAGGGTGCAAACAGAGCGGCAGAAGCATCAACCTCTGGCACCTGGATGTCGGTCTCTAGATAAGGGATTGTCACAAGGCCTGCTTGGAGAATTCTGTCTCTCCCCTTAGATACTTGAATGGACAGCTTATGAAGAGCCAAATGGAATAGATGTGTGGCAGCGTTGGATGATCAGGAAAACTGGCGAATGCGCCTTTCTGGCCAATCTTGGCTGTTTATCTAAGGTGTGAAATCATTTGTTAGCACATAACCCGAAGATATCAAAGCATTTGTAACTAGCTCCGAGACATCTAGTGAAAATTGCATTCGCCGGTTGTTCATGAATATTCCAGCCAGATTTCAGAGCTTGAAATTAAATATTTCCTTGTGGCGCGAGATTCCTAAAATTCCCGGACCTGGGCCCATGTAGAAATTGTAATTTTTGAGTATTCGTTTAGCTTCCGAAAAGGACCAACCTGATTGAGCGTGGTAAATCCATAAGCACATGCTGCGAACAGGGTATCAGTGAGGATCAAGTCGAATTTTTCCTTTGCCATTTGATTGAAGTAATCACGATGCTCTTCCAGCACCGTCTCACAACTGACGGCTCCATAGAAAAATGGAAAGCACTAGAATACTTGCATATTGCTGGGAGCCTATATCACTCCAAAAAGTATCCATCTGTCAAAATCATATTATTCTTCCATTCTTGGCATCTTATTAGAGGTGCCTATTCAATGACTGGTGTCACGCTTGACATTCGATTGGGACCTCGCCGTACCCCCCACACTTTCTCTAAGGCCTGATTGAAAAAAAAATCTGCTTTTCTGATTAAAGTCATAGGGACACAACATTGGAATTTGTGAATGATTGGAAAGGTAAACAGTGAAACAGTGATCATGTGAAGTGATTTGGAGGGAGAGTAGAGGAGGGGGATCTTAGTTGCCAACAGAGGATAGTGACTGTGGTGGGAGTTTCGATAAGGGTACTTCACAGCTCTAAACTCTTTACCGTAAGGCCTCTACCTACCACTCTTGAACCGCCCTTACGAGATAAATCGCTCTATTTTCCTCACGGGGTATAATATTTTAGCCAGTTAATTACAGAAGTGTTCTTAGGACTTTTCTTCTTCGATCCTTAATTTTTTAAGCCCCATCAAAAAGTAAATGAATAACTGCAATAATATATTGGGTTGTAACATAAGTTCGTAGAGTTTTGGGTTAGAGTTATTTTGCAACGTTTTGTTTTGTTATTCAGCAAAATGTATACATTCATTCGAAAGAGCTTTTTCTCCTCTACAAAACTGTTTTATCTGTTTTTTTGGGGAGTTTAATTGTTCGTCTTTTTTCTGGCTCAGAAA